AATGAGGAAGGAGTTGACTTGCCGAGGTGGGTCCAGTCGGTGGTGCGGGATGAGTGGACCTCGGAGGTTTTTGATGTCGAGCTCGTGAGGTACAACAATTTGGAGGAGGAGATGGTACAACTCCTGCAGCTGGGGATTGGCTGCACAGCTCAATACCCAGACAGCCGGCCTTCGATCTCTGAGGTCGTCAGGCGTATTGAGGGGATTCACATTTCGAGCCTCAGGGGCTACCAGGATGAAACTGACCATGTTAGCGAGACATATTGATTAAGGTTTGGTAATTTTTTCGGGCCTGCTGCCACCATTGGAATTGGATCAAGAATTTTTAAGTGCTTTTTTTTTTTTTTTTTTAAGTTGATGTTTTAGTTGTCTTGATGAGAACCTCCAATGTGTACCTGTGTTGTTTGATTTAGCCATTTAGGGTAGATTGCTGTTCTTCTTGTTTGTAGGAGTTCTTTTTTAACATCTCATCTCTCTCTCTCTCTCTCTCTTTCTCTCTTTCTCTCTCTCTCTCTCCACTTGGTACAACTTCTCTCTTTTCCTTTCTCTTTATTCTTGGGAGGCAGATGTATTATGTTCTATTTGTTTATGTTAGGTGGAATATGGTTCCTGTAATTATTGCATTACCTTTAACTTTTTTTTTCCCCTTTTTCCACTTTATCTTTTTTGAATGATTTTTTTTTTTTTTCCTTAGCTGATTGAGAGTTGGTGGTTGGTTTGTGGTATGGTGGCTTCAAGAAAGAAACCTGTCCTTGCTCCTGGTGTAGATAGCATATGCATGTTGTTGTGTCTATTTATTTATCCAAGGCCTTAATTCAATATTAAACTTATTTTGGTTGTCTTTTCTGTGTTGTTTGGTGGTTTTGTAATTGTAGAAGTATGGAGAAGTGGTGTAGAAGTGGTTTCTATTCCTGTCCTGGTGACGTCTCCAACGGGAACGAGTTGGATTCGAACAAATCTTGCTCAACTGGGGGAGAATGATGTCGAATAATAATAATAAATTAATAATAAACTAGTCTACACCAAGAAGTGTGGTGCAGCTGGACCTACTTTGTCATTTTATGGCTAGTCATTATAGACCAATTGTAGTAGTCTCATTGTTTTTATTTTTTTTTCCCTTAATCTATATTGTATATTTTTTATTTATTTTGTTTTTTCACAACCATTTAGATTTAAACAAACTTTGTTCAACCTTGTGTCTAATTTAGTTAGGGAGAAAATTAAGGGAGTTCAACAATATGGTTGGTAAAAAAATGTGTATAAATGTGCTTAGGTGTACTATAAATTTAATAATACTAGTGAACCATAGCCCTTGGTTTTGGTTGGAAATTAGCTAATTAGGTGAAGTCTTCAACAATGTGTACAAGAATATGTGGGTGGTTGCAAGAAAAGTTGATAGTCTAATTGAGTAGTCATGAGCTTGAGCTTCTACCTTTCCAAGCCAATAAATTCTAACTTAACCAGGGTAAAAAGGCCCAAACTCAGGAGGGGGCTGTAGGGTTGCATGTTTCCATTTTTCAAACTGAAAGCTTTTTGCAAGATTTGAGAAGACAAACCGACTTCTACTTGCCTCCAGGAAGTGAGATCAAGTAGTGACTAGTGGAGGGTGAAACTCCCGTTAAAGCTAAAAATCACGGGATCGATCCTGATTAATGATCGTGAGGAGTGTGAGTGAGACATTGCACTTTTACTGAGAGGATTAGTCTCACCCTTTTACGGGAATATAAGCTATTTACCGTTAGTTGGTGGGCTGCAGTGGGCGGTGAAGCCGAGAAGTGAATTTGGGGATACTTCCCCGTCGAAAAAAAAAAAAAAACCGACTTCTACTTGAAATGTAGGGTTGAACATGACGGCATTAAATTTATTGCAGTTTTGCTATGGAGCCATCAGATGGCTCGGCTTATGGAACAATCCATACTTAATCACCAATTGTGCATTGACACGTGTCCTACAATAAATACAATTTAGACAGGTGTCACTATATTAAGTGATGGATGACTCCATAAGAAAACAATCCGATGGCTCCATAGAATTTTTGAAATTTATTGAGCTCAGTTACTAATAATCATCTTGACCAAAGTTTATTCTCGAGAAAAACATATATTTACTCTAAGACTATATTTATCTACAACCCAATTCAACCTAACTCAATAATAAAAAAATTATTTCTCTCTCCTCCACTTACACAACGTAACTTTTAACAACCCACATATCTTTATCCCCAACCCAACCAAATATAATATTTATTTTATATTTATTTATTATTTATTAAATATTATATACAAAACATTTTTTTATTATTTTATCTACAATTCAACTCAACATAATAAATTCAATTGTGCTCCAAAATATATCAAGAGTGGTCTCTATTTATAGAGAATGAAAAAATATGAATTTTGATATATTTTATTTATTTTTTAATATAGAATAATATCTATAATTTGAGTTATAGTTATCTTAACATATAATATTTATAATGACTAATAAAAATGGGAAAAGTGACCCATTCCTCTTTCCTTTATCTAAAGAGAATGAAATTAAAAAAAAAAAAAGAAAAAAAAAAAGAGGAAGTTGCGACCCGACCCAAGGTCACAATGTGACATGGGTCGCCCAACCTTGTGCCCAACTTTTTATTTTTTTCTTTTTTTTTTTTTATTTTTTTTATTGCTTTTTAATTGGTGACCCAGTGGGAAAGGTTACCAATAAAGATAATCTAACGGTACATGGAAAAATTCTTTGTGTACCTTTATTTCAAACAGAACTCCATTTGTCCTCTTTTCTGCCAAACACACCTGACTAAATGCCCAAAAACTAATTTGTTTTATAATTTCGAAGTAATTTTGAAGTCATCTACCGAGGTACGGTTTTTGGAAGAGTGTACTGGCTCCTCATGCTGTGTAAAACATGGAGCATCTTCATCATGTGCTGGTTATCTCATCATTCTCATCATCTACCATTTCACATACTTCTCTGTGGGTATTTGAATAAATGTCATGACAGATCCAAAAATTAATTTAGTGTAAACTTAGAAAGGGAAAAGATGAAAACACCTTTCTTCTATACGAGCTCCAAATGCTTCTACTGTCAGTGAGTCTAACTTATTTCGACTGTCTATTACAAAATTTTCAAGTTTTCAAGACAAAAGAGGACATACGCCAGAGATCATCATCCAAGGTGTTTGCTACCCATCTTGCAAAATTCATTTATGTGCAATATGGACATGATAAAAAGGAATTTAATAAAGCAGTTATTAATTCTCAAAAACAAAAAAATTCAAAGTAGAAATGAGAGAACGTGTAAAGTAGAGTAGTACTGAGTACCTGATAAAGTTCTTATAATCTCTTTGATTAATTTCATATTTACAATTTATATAATAATTTAAGAGCTACAACGATTTTGAATTAACTATTTTGCCTCTTTATCGTGGCGGCAAATAAATTAACTATTTTCTCTATAAGGCCTCTTATCGTCCCGGCAAAGTAGTGGCGCAGAAGCGGGACAGTACCTAATTTGGAGTCCGCTGAAATTGCGGGACTTGAAATAATCGCGCCATCACGCCATCACTATAGGTTGGAGTTTGTTTTAATAATGTATAATTTTTTTTGTTTTTTTTTTGTTTTTTTTTTT